ATATGTCACGTGTGTGACCTCACCAAGTAATAAATATAGCTCCACCCTTTACCAAAAAGGGGCCTTGTAAGTTACCGTTTTACCACAAAAGTGCGCAGGAATAAAGTGAAAAAATAAGATTATTGCCTCGGTGCCAACAGCATTCACGCCGGATACGTGGAGACACATGGTCGTGAGCAAGTCCTGCTCTGCCCGCGCGGCTCCACCACCCGCCGGCCCTCAGAAGCTCCCCCAGGCGCCTTCTCCGTAAACATTAATTTACGTAAAAACCTACGGAAACGCACTCCAGGCAAAACAGCAGGACAACTGTTCTGCGTTTATAACCCCATCGTATCTTTAAAATAAACCATGAAAGATATCACAGCGCAGTCTCCGTGTCTGAGTGTGTCCGGGAGAGAGAGCGAAGTTACTGGAAACTCCGTCTGGTCATGGTGTCTCCCGGGGTTTCCTCTCCACGAAGGCTCAGACGCCACCCGTTCGTTTTTACCGAATTCTGCAGCGAAAGCAGCTCCCTCGCAGGGCTTTTGACAGTTGAGCTAAACGCGGGCTAGATTGCTGCTGACTTTGCGCCTGGGGATCCGCTATCGCTCACACGATTCTCCCAGATCTGTTCACGGGAATCCTCCCTTCCTAGTCATTCCTTTAGCCGGTATATTTATTTCTTACGATGGACCCCTACGTATCCACTTTATTCTATGGGTTATAATTCGTTCCTTTCATTTAAAAAAATTTTTAATCTTCTTCTGAGGATATTTTTCCCATTGATTTCTAGAGAGAGGAGGGAGGAGGGGTGTGGGAAGGGAGTGAGAGAAACATTGAGTGTCTGAGTGTGTCCGGGAGAGAGAGCGAAGTTACTGGAAACTCCGTCTGGTCATGGTGTCTCCCGGGGTTTCCTCTCCACGAAGGCTCAGACGCCACCCGTTCGTTTTTACTGAATTCTGCAGCGAAAGCAGCTCCCTCGCAGGGCTTTTGACAGTTGAGCTAAACGCGGGCTAGATTGCTGCTGACTTTGCGCCTGGGGATCCGCTATCGCTCACACGATTCTCCCAGATCTGTTCACGGGAATCCTCCCTTCCTAGTCATTCCTTTAGCCGGTATTTATTTCTGTTACGATGGACCCCTACGTATCCACTTTATTCTATGGGTTATAATTCGTTCCTTTCATTTAAAAAAATTTTTAATCTTCTTCTGAGGATATTTTTCCCATTGATTTCTAGAGAGAGGAGGGAGGAGGGGTGTGGGAAGGGAGTGAGAGAAACATTGA